TCGAAAGAACACACACACTATTAGCAAGAAAAGGGTACGCAAGCCCGAGGAGGTACATCTGCAATCAATCCCTGCAGCACGTTTGCATGCTCACAACTGAACTACATGCCCACACACTACAAGTGTAGGAAGATATGATTCCTCGCTCGGGGTAACTTGCCAGCGGGAGACAGACGTGGCAGGTAAAGCGCCGAGGAGATTTGTCCCTTCCGAAGTCCATGGCCGATTGCCGAGGGAAGAAATGGGAAGCCTCCGGCTCTCCTCTCTCTCTCGACCCTCTGCTCACTCTCTTCTTTTTCTTTCTTCCTCTCCTCGTTACATCTCACGAAAGGAAATAGCCACCCTTGACAGTGGGAGAATACTGCAGTAACGTCATTGATTGGGAATTATTATGCGCGGACGGGGACGACACCTTATCTAATACTCTACATCACTTCGATCTCATGATAGCAAGCAGCACCTCACCCTACATGTATGTTTGCTGCTCCAATCACCGCTGTTGTTGTTGCTGCTGCCCTTGAACATTGCTGGCCTTCCTTGCTTTGCGAGGGGCGGTGTGCTTTTGCTGATGATAATATGCAAAGAAGGCATGACTGCGGATAGAGGATTTTTTATTTGGGTAATCCTACTACTTTTACAACTGGTGTGTTGTAGTAGGTGTGCTTGCGGGCTTTTTTTGCACATTGATTGCCATAAACACAGCATCGAGAAGGGACAAAGGGACAGTTGTTCAAGGTAGAGACAGCTCGAAAGTTGTCCTCCTGCTTTCTGCTCATCTACTGCAGAATCCGCTTGTGAATCGAAGTCGTGGTCGTCGAGATACCTACAGTTTCCCGGAGAGAGAGCCGCGAGACAAGGCCTGTGGAACTTTCTGCTATTTTTTCTTATTTTTCCAGGCGCTACCAGTAAAAAATCGCCGGGATTGTGCTGGCTAAATAAAACCCCACTTTGCAACTGGGGAAAACGCAGGTGGGCCTTCTGTGCACAACAATCATCCTTCTCGACGGAGTGATCAACGACTGGAGGTTGTTTGCAGTGTTGTTGCCTTTATTTAGTAATTGTAAAAGGGCGTGCACTTGTCTGGTATCCAAGTAGTAAGTGAGTACAACGATAAACAACATATTCGCCTGATTGAGAGCGTAGCATCTGATTGAGAGCGAGATTGCGCGATACGCTGTAGCCGGCCTACCACTGAGAGGTGGAGCTTGCTGTGTAGCTTGAATTGAAGGGCTAGCCCGTAGCTTCAAGCCGCTACCCTGGTCATCCTGTGGGAGTCTCTCGTTGTGGAGCTACAGCGGGTAGCAGAAGCTACAGCAGAGCCCACCGCCCGACGCGATACCGCCCTGAAACAGTTTGAGCAGAAATAGCCAATCTGGGCAAATCTAGCAACTTGTCTAGCTCCTCGCTGCAGCATCCGATGACGATGACACGCATATGCTCGCGAAGCTGCTGATGAGACCTTCAATTTGCACCGCTTCTTGGAATAGCCCGTCCCCTACTTGCCAAGAAATGGCAAGAGGCGTCTGGACCCGAAATTTCATTTTTTTTGGCTCTCGCTCTCAATCAGATACTTCGCTCTCAATCAGGCGAATATGTTGTTGATATTGGTGCGCCAGTCGGTCGACACACGACCGACCACCGACTGACTGCTGACTCCTCCAGAAAAAATAGGGAAATAAATAAATGGTGAATCATTACTACAAGTACCATGCCCTCTTGCATTGCCGCACACCAACCATCCGAAGCCTATGCTGTAGCCTGTTTTCGTACGCCCTAGACAATCTATATTCTGCTGATCCGCGCGTTAACACACTCACTCACTCTCACTCACCCCTCCCTGTACCCTGCGCGCTGAACTCATATTTTGTCTGTTATGTATCTGCAAGGTACAACAAATAGACTGATACCTGAATGAAGTGGTTGTTGTCTTCACATTAAAAATATTATTATGCAGTGTTTTTTCTAAATATCTTCTTCATATGGCACAACGAATCCATCTCTATCTAAGAAACGAAGCAGCATTATTTTTTCTTACAAGCGCACAACGGATACAGCAGTAGTAGTAGCTCTTCCGCTGTTTTAGGAGGTGTTTCTTCCACGCATACAATTGGAAGAGCCCGGGATATGGAGTATGAACTCATGCTGGTATATGTAGTAGCGTTGTGTGATAAAAAGTCAGTCAAATAGAAAAAGTAGGGGGGGGGAACACAGTCAGTACCGTCACGAAATATAATATTGTTGTTGTTGTTTCTCACATTAGCTCTATAGTCCACAAAAAATGGGGAGCCCGTGGTCTCTATAGACAAGTTAATATTATTATGCTTCTTCTCTAGTTTCTTCCCGTGTGGCATTCGACGGATCGCGTTTCATTCTGAATCTTCAGCGGACCTCTTTCTTTGCAATTCCTCTCTTCGTTTCGTTGCCTTTCTTCGTTTGTTGTTCATCCATCCATCCATCCATGAAGAACTGCTCAATTAATTTATTTGACGATGGGTATGCGTGCGACAGCTTTAACCAAATCACTTCGTTCGGTGGAAAGCGGATTTCTGTTCGATACGGTGTCAGGGGTACCAGGGAAGACGGGGCCGAGTTTTGTTTGATTTCGGGTGGATGAGGTTGGGGTTTTGTTCGTTTTTCTCCATCTAAGGTTCGTGCCTAGAGTTCAGCTGTTTGTATAATAATAGTCTTTCAACCAAAGTTTTGTTGACTTAAAGGCAAACATTCCTAGCTATTATTGGGCATCGAGTTAATTTGGCTTGGCATGACGGCCTTTCTTTACGATCGACATATTTTTATGTATTCTTCTGTCTGCATTTATTTTCTATTTTATCTGCAATTGTCGGAGGGCAAACAAAATAATAATGGGTATGCATCGCATCGTGAAATCACAAAATTGTATATAGATAGATAGATAGGGAGGGGAGATAGATATAGATATAGGCTCTCAATCAAGTGTACTTGGAACAAAAGACAAAAAGGACCCATCCTGAAACTTATCTCTTTAAGGGAGGAAAAAAAGAGGTTGGCCGGTTGGTTGTAAATTATGGGGCGCCAAGGGCACCGAATGTAGTTTGTTTGGCTTCGCCATAGATAGGTATGTGCGAAGGTGTACCGATTCAAGTAAAAGTCAATCGACGGATACCCTGCGAATCGGGTCCTCCTTAACACTCTCCACCCACAGAATTTACCCTCAACTGGGAACCTCTCGTGGCCAGGATGGGTAATTCGATGGAAGTGTCACAAGGTTCTTTCTAGGATCGACTCCAAGAAGAGGTGTTCTCAGGACTGACACACATTACATTGTGTTCATGGGAAAATATCCAAGTCAGGAGAACAAGTTTGCACCGAAGGAGGTTCGAACCAGTATCCATCCAGCTGACGCCACATATATGCGAAGGTGTACCGATTCAGGTAAGTAAGAGTCAATCGACGGATACCCTGCAAATCGGGTGCTCCTTAACATATATATGTAAATATTTTGATGTTCTGGTCTTCTTCCCGCAACCAACCACGGAAGGCGGTGCAGCCATATATTATATATTTCAGTACCGTCACAAAGAAGAACCGTCATATATTATATATATTTGGCAGTAGTAGTACCAGGAAGCGCCGAATATATATTATATGAAGAAGGCGGTACCGCCATATTATTTCAGTACCGCCAGAAAAATGCCGCCATATTTGGCAGTAGTACCGGGAACCACCGAAGGCGGTACCGCCATGTTTCAGTAGTACCGCCAAAAAAGTACCGCCATATTTATTTCGTTCAGTACCGACCGCCAGAAAATATCCCCATAATATAATAAATATTTGGCATACGTACCGGGAACAACCGCCAACCAACAAAGGCGGTACCGCCGGAAAACGAAATACCGCCTACTACTACAGCCAAAAAAAGTACCGCCACATTGAAGCACCGCCCTGCCTGAATCCGCCAAAAAAAAAAGTATAAAATGTACCCTCCACCAGAGGATATATATATCACGGAATCACGAGCAATACGTCATATGCTTGAACATATAGCGTAGCGGTACTAACATCTCGAAAGAGAGGAAATTTGTCTGCCGATATACATTATATATATCGCTTGATTAACCCAACAACGAACGAACGGTAGATAGATAGTAGATACCTTGACACATATTTTTTTCTTTCCTCCTCCTTCACACCAATCCGCGCATAACCGCTTTCATAACCCGGCTCGTTATGCCCGCTCGGCCTGTGACCCCCCCACGTTATCCCATGTAATAACCCCTCGTTGGCCGGAGGTTACACAACGCCCCCGTACAACCGTGCCCACTGGCCATCTGTGCGGGAACAAACCCAACTTTCTTCTTCTGACCGTGCAGCGTCCCTGTTTTTGTGTTGGTGGTGGCGCGCCAACTCAAAAGGCCTTTCGCTGGGCGCTGGCCTTCTCTTTGGCCGCGCTGACATTTTCTCAGCAGACTGCTGTTTGTGCGTGCGTGCGGTGGTGCGTGTGATGTGAAGAAAGTTGCTAAATCGAAAAATCGTAGAACAAACCAAGCCTCCCTCGTTCGGCTCTTACATCTGTTGTTATTTTTTTCCTTGTGGGTTCTGGCGAGACTGTCAGGAGCGAGGAGCGATCCTCAGAACGACGGCTTGACTCAATATATATATGTTTCCATATTTCGGAAAAATTTTGAATCCGAAACTGTCAAATAGAAATATAAAAATATGACGAAAGAAAGCGAAAAAAGATGAAGATGAGAGGCCAGCCGGACTCGAACATCAGCAGTTGCACGCGGAATATCGCCCTCAGCATATTAGGCAACTTCCCTCCTAGGTGCGATAGCCTCACAGGCTCGTGCGACATTGCGGTACTTTCACGGCGGTACTGCTGTAGATGGCGGTACCATTTTAGCGGTACTTCAATGTACAGCCTCACAGGCTCGTGCGACATTGCGGTACTTTCACGGCGGTACTACTGTAGTATGGCGTTACCATTTTGGCGGTACCTTTTCGGCGGTACTGCAATATGGCGGTTCTTTTTCGGCGGTTCCCGGTACTTCAGTTTTCGGCGGTTCGCGATAACGAATGTGGCGGTAATCACAGCCGCCCACGACGGCGGAAAAAAAACGGCGGGAATTTTACCGAGGTGTACCCTGCAAATATCAGCTTCCACGGACGGTTACAATACATGCATGTTAATTTGTATTTTACGCAGTGGGCTCTTCCATTCCAAGAAACACATCTTGGGCTACCTACTCGGTACACACCCTAATGAGTACAACAACACCAACGAACGACGACCAACAAGAGACGTCACGCCGACACTGTACTACAGTACTACCGCGACACGGATTACCCGCCGTCCCCCGCCCCCAATTCACCACACACTCCACTCCAAAATCAACCGAGAGGCAGCGCCTCTCGTCTCGTTTCAATTCAACGTAGAAGTAGTCCCACACGAATATAACATCAAGACGCGAATATTCACTGGCCACGAAGGGAAGGCACCCAACTCTGACGCGCCGTTAAGCTCAGCAGCCCGAGCGACCGTTCGTTGCACACGATAACCTTGTCATTTTGAGCATGATAAAGACCGGAGGTCGCCAACCAACTACCTGTGGCCACCCGCCTTGTTCCTCGCCCCACACGTCTTCATTTTTCCTCACACCGGACTTGCGTCAAGCGAGCCAATTACCCCCAACAAGCCACTAGCTCTCGCTGCGATTCGTGTGAGAACCCCCCCCTCCCCCCCCCACCCCTCGATGGCAGCCTTCCCCCCTAACGTGTGATACAAGAAAAAATGGAGACATGGTGATGCAAATTTCACATAATCTCTCTGCAGGATTGAGAGAACCCATCCAAGAGTATGCATAGGAAGAAAAACTTGCGATCGCCGGCCAAAAGTCACCCACACCCCCGGCATCTCCCGATGAACATACAAGACAACATGCCCGGAGGTTGACCGCCCGTCGGTTCCACCACTACAACTCTGCTGGAAACCACCCGATCCTTGCGAGTGAACATCCGAGTGCTGACCGAAAATGAGTGCGGTCGGTGACACCAAACAGAACCATCAAGGGCGTCAAAGAAAGACGATACGCCGGGGAGCATGCGTGCGTGCCTCTCGGCATTTCTCGACCAATTCTTGCAAGAATACTTTCACTCGCATCTGCCTCGCTCCGAATGTTACGCATAAGGTTCAATCTGCCGCCGCCGTAACTGCCCTACCTACCGCGGCATGTGTATATGTGTGTTTTTAACTTAACTAAGGCCCAACCGCTAAGTAGCTTTCGTCGACGCTTGATCAAACTTTCACATGGTCAACGTCGTTTTGCCCGAATACCACCAAAAACGATGTACATCCCCTTTTCCCGTTACCCCTCACCACCCGACCACGACGAAATCAACAATGATGGAGTGCTTCGGTAGAGTGTCCACCCTTTACATAAAACGACCACATTCAAAACACCAGTACAGAATGAAAAGACCAAAAGTCGATGCCTGCGGCTGGAGCAGCACCTGGACGACACAACCCAGACCGACCCAGCTCGATCAGAGTTGTCGGCTCACAGGTAGATGAGTTGAATGTAGCTAAATGGTGCCGCTTCAGTACTTGAACAACGTGGGCGATTTGCTTATCCCGGCCGGAGCTGAACAAGAGGTCGCCGGTCACACTCTAAAAAACCTCCCTTTACAAACCACACAACCACCTATTATTTCCAATCGTAGCTGATGTTTTAAGCAAGAGCCACCCACAACCCAATCTTCCCGTCTCCTGCTTCTTCTCGTTTCTCCATCCTACATGCCTTCCCTCTTTTCGCGCCGGTCCCTGCAACAGTTCGGTTTGTGACTTCAAACACATCCATTCCCGACCAATGATACCTATGGTTACTCATCTTTTTCACCTATAACCGCTACTGATCTATAATTTCCACTTTTTCCAAACTCGTTGACACTCGAGAAACGAGATTAGGGTGCCGCCTACATGTGCGGAGGAGGGCCACTACAACTTTTGCTTTCCGCTTCAACAAACACCTGAACTGAACAAACAACCGAATTAGCCATTGATTGGCCTAACTCTGTATCAATACAGTGGTGTAAGCGCGAGAGAAACAAAACCGCAAAACGAACCATTCAGATCCGAGAAATACAAGACTGCAATCAAGGCACCCTACATGACGCAAGAACAATACAAAGCAGCTCACAAAAATCGGCCCAAGACGTCAGCAATAAAGCCTCCAGACAGGGTGACCGAGCGAAAACGCAGTCCGCTCCCCCTTCCCAATTTCCAATACTACTTCTTCGACATCCCGTCGAATTTGAATGAACGTCAGGCTTTGCCTGTACCGACCGTGTCTATCCGAGTTTTTACCCAAACGACAACCGCCCTCACGCTCTCAGCCGAATGGCCAAAAAAAAAAAAACTGGAGCGCGAGCGCGTTCGCCGCACGTGTGAATCCTCAACTCAGGACACAAAAAAATACACACACCCAAAACGGGAACCAACGCGATATGCTATACAGGGAGCGCGTGCCTGGGGAAAGAAAGGGCAACTTTTGCTAACAACGCCCCTACGACTAAAACATCACTAACCCGAAAAGACATCGTTCACCTCTCCTTAGCCTGCAACCAACGGTTGGAGGCAGGGGCCCGGTTGGGGACGGGGGGCGAGACAGGTACCATTTATTCAGTCGACAAATCAATCCACTCCTGAGGACGCGAGAGGAAACAACTAAAAAAAAAACACGTCAAATCTACGCCAAACATAGCAGCACTTTTGAGGTGTGTAAAAAACACTCCAACTCCGACGGCAGTACTGGTATAACAAAACTATTATGAAAAGTTTACGTAGGTCAACTACGAAAAAAAGGCCAAAAGAGAGGACAGACAGACAGGCACCAAAACACTAAAACGAACCAGAACAAAACCAACACAAATTGCAAACATGTGGAATGCATGCCGCGTCTAGGTTGCGCCAAGCACGTCTCTTGTTTCGTTCTATGACAACCCCCCCCCCCCCCCCGCGCGCCAACACAATCATTATGTTCAGGAAGCTAATTATCCCCCATCCCTGGTGCCCCCGACTGACTTCTTTCAAAGTGACGCCACACCGCCGCATCACCAGAAGCACCACGGTCTCTACAGGGGCGTAAAGGGTAAATTTTGCTCCTTGCAAATCTAATTCATGATGAGTTTTTCTCCTTTTGTCTTCTCTTCCCCTGCACCAGCACAATTTTCCACACACGCCGCACGGCATATCACCGTATGCCAAAGGGCAACCAACTCGCAGTCCACCCCCAAAAGGGACGAGTCGAGAGAGGGGAGCGCGGGGGTTGAGGCCGCGGGGGATGGAGGAAGAAAGACCACCACAGCAACAGAGACCCGGGTATCCATACAACAAAGAACACGGGAACACAACAGCAGCGTTCGCGCGACTGATCCTCAAGAAGGAACTAGACGGCGACATCTATCATGTACATTCAAAAAAACTAGTCGCCGAAAAAGCAAAAAAAATAATTGGGAGCAACCGAGAGAACCAAGAAGACTCACACACAGGTAAAAAACAAAAAAATCTGAACACAGGGGTCAAAAAAGACGCAGGAAACAATGTCGTCGACCTTTCTCAACGGTGTCGATGCCGGATTCCGTAAACCCCTCCGAGAAAACACACACGCCGGAAATAAGAACCAGAACAACACAGCAGCATTTTCTTCCTGCTCAGTTACGAAACAGCCAACCTAGCCGGAAACCACACACATGACAGAAAAAAATGGACGCACCACCACAATCCATGTGCCGTTGTTTCTTCCTCCACCCCTCCGCACACGATTTCCTGATTTTTTTAATAGCCGGAATGAACAACACGCAGTCCCTCCTCCCGGGATTCATTCACCTTCTTCGCCATGTACAAAAACCCCGACTACGGCACGCGTGTCGGGGTGGCATCATCATCGAGCGCGCGGACCAAGTCCACCCTATTATTTCTAGCAGGGGACAACGCCACACACACAACAATCACGCCACACCACAGAACGCGCCGTTCAAAACACATCCATCACCAAGAGAGTTGCGCGTCGTGGTCACCGCCCACCAGACCACCATCACTCACTTTCCCGGTTCACTTCTCTTCATTGCATCTGCATGGCGGGGGCGAACACGAGCTGGCTGCGCCACATACTGAACTGCGACGAGGGGTTGCCGTTTCCAACCACGCCGCCTGCTACGGCGGAGTGAGGGGGAGAACCCATCCCTCCGCGCGACGGGAAGCCGGTGGTGGCGGGAGCCAAAACCACGCCGCCCCGAACCCCTCCCGGCGCCTGGTGTGGCAAGAACGCCTGCACCACGGGGCCGTTGGCGTTGACTCCGCGGAAGGCGGGGCGGCTCATCCGCTGCTGCTGCTGCTGCGGCGGGCAGTTCACGCCGGAGGGGTTGCCGTTGACGAAGAATTGCTGCTGCTGCCCGTGGCGGGTGGCGGCGGCAGCGCCGTTGTGGTGATGGTGGGCGTGGTTCATGTTGACCCCGCGCGGGGCAAGGTAGCGGTCGTGGCGGGCGTCGCGGCGTCCAAGGCCGGCGGCGGCGGCATGAACGTTTCCATACCCGGGGTGTCCGCCCATCATCACCACCGGCTGCTGCTGGGGGTGAACGTTGTGGTACTGCCGGCGCATGTGAGAGGCGTGGTGCGGAGAAACCTGCTGCTGCTGCTGCTGCTGCTGCGGGAAGCCCGCTGGCCCGCTTACGCGGCGAGGCCCGGCCGGTGGGGTCTTGTGCTGGTGCTGGTGCAAACGGTTGGGGCCAGCCGAAGACCAAGGACGCTGGTTCTGACGGTCGATGTCAGCAATACACAGCGAGGATGTCGGCAGGAAAGAGCGGGTGGGTTGTTAGGGGGAATACAACACAGAAGGAAACAATAACGACGTGTACCATTTACACGACAACCAGCATGCCGGGAGACGTGCGTAGTAGTGCAAGCTCGCTCCCGCAGGCGGCTACCGTCACGCTACTGCATACACAACAGTATACCGTATGCTCCCCCTCCTTCCGCAACGGCTACAAAAGTAAAATCCACGCTAACGTCGCCTCTTTCTTCCTCACCCTCTCTTGGCGGTACGACTTCGACACACGCTCCTGGCTGGGGGCAGCCGCTCCGCCGCCGGCGTCGATGCCGACCTTATGGTTGCCACCGCCGCCGTTCCCGTGCCGCCGTCCGCTGGCGCCAGCCGTCGCCTCGAGAGGGTTGACGGGGCGGGCCGCTAGTGGAGCAGGGGCGGGAGAAGCAGCCACGACAAGGACTCCTTCCACGGTAGCGGTAGAAGCGGGAGTGTCGGCGTTGGCGGTGGTGGGGACCACCGGCGCGGGGCCCATCGTTTCCTGCCTCTCTTGTTCCTCGAGCTCGATGGACGGGTTGTGCATGTGCGTGGCGTAGTTCACGCGGAATTCAGCGTAGTCCGTTGGCTGCCACCTGTGAGACCGCGGGGGGGGGTGGGGGGCGGGGGGGGGATGGCAGCGATTGAATAAGCCGAACGCGCAGAACATACATCAGCAAGTTCGGCGGCCGACGGACACCGGACGAACACAAAAATGCGGAAAATTGAGGGTTGTTCCATCGTATTTGGGAATTCTCGTCTAGGCATGTGTATGTAATGCAGAGACTTGAGCAAAATGTCAAAATGTTTCTTTCGTAACACCGTACCTCTCCACAGGTGTTATGGCTCTTACTGGCATCACCGCTTGTTCGGCGTGCTGGGGCAACACATCCTGAACCGACTCGACTCAATTCAGCACTGCCACGTTTTTTCCAGCAATTCAACTGCTTGCACCCTATGGAGACTTGCTTGGAACATATGCCATCTCTTCGAAAGGGAATACCTATTTTTGTATGGTATGCGTGGATGCAACAACCACGGGGCATAGCGCGCGACCCTTCCTTCGGGCCTTTCACAGCTGGCAAACGACCCTCTATCCGTGTGGACATATTGCCTGTTGTATATACCAACTTTTTTAGTTGTTGAAGTGTTGCATACGATGCATAACGGATTAGGTCAAAAAAATTACCAATTTGTTTCATGGGTGGCAGTGCATGTGAGTCATTGCTGAGTCCCGTAGTTCGGGGGGCGTTGCTTGTTGTTGACCGCCTGTTCACTGGGCGCGGGTGCATTCTGCGAAATAACGACGGCACCACACGGCTCGTTCCACCGATCAAGATATTTGGTGCACACCAAGGGAGCAAACCGAGTCCGAGCCTTTCTTCCGAACGAGCATAAACAAACATCCAACATTAACCACGATGATGGAAAAGTTAACCTCACCCTCATATTTACTTACAACTGTGGGGAGGCTTATTTATCAACACATCGTCTTTCATGTGAAAACAACAACAAACACAACAGCAACAGCGAACATCAACCATTTCATCAGACGGAATGTAACCTCGCCCTGATTCTTATTGTTTTTGTTCATATGCATATACTTGTTGTCGTCATTCAAGTCAGCGCTCACAGCACGTGTCCTGGATACTCCAACCCGTGGTCACACACAAGGGTACATCTCCCTGAGGCCCGCTGTCCACCCCCCCTTGCGGTGCGTTGCCCTTTGTTTACTTGAACGAGGGAAGAATGCAGCACTCTTTTACACAACAACGGAACTATTTACCGGCAACAGTTGCCATCCAGGTCAGGAAGGAAGAGAGAACAACGCACATCGCAAGAGAAAACGCCGGGGTTCGAACCCCTTGATCCCGGCCACAACCACAACCAACTTGTATCAAGTGTTGACTGCCAAAGCGACCGAGCTTCTTACGGGAAAAAATCTATGGACTAAATGCACAAAACCTACCGCCATTCGAACCAAAAAGGCCGGGCGATTGATGGTTGGGGGACGACCGAGAGAAGCAAGGAGTATATATATATGTGTGGTGCTGGTGGTGCTGCTGTACATAACAGGGCAAAGGTGTCAATTGATCCGATCGTCACGGGCACCTCACCAGCCAGTTATACAAGAAGCATGGTGACGCTTGCCTCATTCTCGCCTGCTCATACATGAATGCCTGCTGCTGCGATTGCACCACACGTATAATGTGAAGACAACAACAACAACAACAACAACAATTCTCACACACGAGACAGCCAGTCCAACAACGATCCATCTTGTCGTCGAGGCGACGAAAGTTTAGAAATGGATTATTTTTCGGTTGAGGCAGCAAAGACACAACACGGAATACTCACCCGCACGCTACCGCTGCCAGGCAGACGGGCCACATTTTACCCCGCTATCTCGTCTCCTTGTCTGCTACGGGTACGTACACAGGCCCAAGCCCCGGTGTTGGATCAACAGCAGCACACTCACCAGAGCTCGCGCTTGGTGGCGACGGTGAGGTCGTGAGAGGACGGGATGAGCACGGCGGCCACGATGGTCGAAAAGCACACCTTCTCGCCGACGCGGACCCACTTGGGAGCCGAGGCGGCAGCGGGGGCGGCCGGAATGTTGTTGATCGCCTGCTCCACCGCCGCCTCTGCCCGTGTGGGGGCTTGCTTCGCGGCAGGCGCCACGGCGGTATCCTCCTCCTCCTCCTCCGCGACGTCGTCGTTGTCCTCAACTGCAGCGGTAGGAGCAGCAGCTGGGTTGGTGGGGTTTTCTTTTCCTCCTACTCTGCCGCCCTTGAACTCTTCGTTGTTGCCGCCCGGCAGCGCCTGCCGCCGTGGCTGAGTCGGCGCCGGCTGCTTCTGCTGTTCGTGCTGCCGCTGCTGCTGAGTGAGCAGGAAACGGAGTGGTGGACGGACGGGGCAGAGCATGCAAGAGGTAATGAATCGTGGGGGCTATGACAATAATTGGAGGTTGTTCGACTCGTGCCAACAAACATTAAAGCAAATAAATATATCTCGAACGGGTGGTCTTTCCTGGGTTATGTTTAATTTCATAAAAACATCATCGCCGTCTCGGCTGCACAATAGAGGTAATAACAAACACTGATGGGACTGGTTGAATGCGTGTGTGGGTTTTCTGGTGTGATCGGTTGTTTCCGTTCTTGTACCTTCACATCTGTTGACAAACGGGCAGAAGAAGAAAACACGGGCAACTGGAGGGATCGGCGTTCAACGAGGTGCTTGGGTATACGTTGTGTGGGTTCGGCTACTACGCCAGCACAACCACTGCTAAACTCGGTAAAGAGAAATCGCAGGCTGGCCATCCAGCAATCAACAAGATCGATCAGCCGCGGCGGCGACGGCGCGCCATGGAAAAGAAATGCATCATGGATGGCGACGGGGCTTTTGTAACAAAGTGTGACAAAAAAAATCAACCACTTTCTCACGCAGCGGCCCCGCCGGATACTTCTCGAAGGACTTCTATGCTGCCACCAACCAGCTGGCTGACATGATCAGGCCTACCTACAACCAGCGAGGCAGGGCTTGTTGGAGGGGGAAGACAAAGAGAAGGCAACGAAATACAAGCACAGCGGCAGTCTCCCTCCTCTCGGGAACGGACGGGCCGACGACGCCCGACGTGTTAGAAAATAGAGGCGAATGAGCAAGAGCTCTTCTGGGAAAGCTGTGAACCTTTCCTCACCTCTCCGTTTCCAAAAACGCAAGTTTGCTGCCGATGCTGAAGTGGTCGCATGGCTAAAAGGCCGAGGTGTGTATGTGTGTTGTATGATGAGAGTGTGGCGGTGGGGGGGGACACGCCACGAGGGGCCGGGGCAGGGACAAGCCCGGAAACAAAAACAGCTGCCGCGGTGCAGTGCGGGCCGTTTCTCGCACGCGTTTCCTAAAGTATTAATTGATCACTGAATTGTTTCCTGGTCTGCTGCTGTGGTTCGTTCCATGATACGCCGAAAACACAAAAAATAAATTCAACACGAGAGCGAGGCGGATACGAGCGCCCCACGACGCTCCGACGTGCAAAAATAACCAAGCTGGTCGCCTCGCCCCGCCTACCCCACATGTCGTCCTCCTGACCCACGTACGTCGTGCAGCCGATCACCTCTCTCTTGTCTCTCGCTGCTGCACACGCTCAAACAACTTCAAGCGACAGCACAGCTTGCTTTGTAATAGCGCGGGGGTCCTGCACAAAAATAAGCCCTGCGGGCTTCGAAAGAGACAAACACACACCTTGTTGTCGCTCGACATGGCGAGATCCGAGCGTCGTCTCCCTGCTCGCTTGCCGCTATCGAGAGGGCTCGCCGCCAACGCCCGGGCCGTGTCCACCGCCGCCGTCGCCGCCTGGAGGACGATGACGTCGCTGGGCGCGAACTGCGAATTGTCCACCGTCATCCTCTTCGGGTGGAGATGTCTCGGTGTTTGGGTTTGGTGTGTGTGTGTTCATGGAGTCGTGGTCCGAGCTGGGCTGCTGCAGCGTGGAGAGAGATAGATGGAGAGGAGAGTCAGCCGACCGGAAAACATTTGTAAAGATCCGCCGTTTTGGGGGGTCCACGCCCCGTGTTTTTCTCTTTTTTCCTAATCATTTTTTTCTATTTTGTTCACTTTTTCTAATTTTTGTTGTGACGGGTTTGCGTGCCTCCGGCCCGTTTTTTTTCGGAAATACGACACACACAAAAGAAGAAATGCAGGCAACGAGGGAGTTTGTCGGTCGAGGAGAAGACTGGAGCGAGTGCGTTTTTGGAGTCCCTTTGGTGAACGCTGATTGAGTTTGGATGCACCATTCACCCGAGGTGAAGTGCTGTATGCATACCTCCCACCCAAGACAACATTTTTTCATGCAACATTTGCCACAGCAGAGCGGCCACAAGCCACAACCGCGGAATCTTTGAGGGAACGGTGCTGGAAGATACAATCTACCTGCAGAAAATGCGGCCTGATCTGTGAGAAAGGAAACGGTCACCTGCCACGTGCGGATCTTTTTATGGTTGGATCCTTTCTCAAAATCACACCAGCTCTTCGGATGGTTCGCCTCGCGTAAACCTTCAACTTTCACCGTGGGAAAGAACGCAAGGAGCGTCTTAGATACAGGTATCAAACGGACGCACGGACACGCACGCCGTCGAAGATGCCTCCCAACCCAACGTCGGCAGAGCCGAAGTCGGATGAGTGCGTCAAGGTCGTCGTTCGCATCCGGCCGCTCAGCCGGAAGGAGCTTCAGGATGGACACAAGGCGTGAGTCAAGGGCTCCTACTGCACTGGTGTAACGATAATGAACTAATGATGACTACATGTTACTCTTTGCCCTCTCGTCGTTCTTGAGTTCACGAGTTGTTGGGCAACGGATGGACGACCCCTAATGTCAGCATAACTTGTACTCACCTGTCGTGTTCTGCTGTAGACAGCAGCACCGCGTTGTATCTACAGCAGTAGTAGAATACTACATACATACAGCGATTGTATGCGGTGTGCTCGCCAGAGGCAGAGATGTGAGCAACAGGAACAGCCACAGCTGTTGTGCTCTTCAGTTGGTACTTCATGAAGTGAACGCAGATGGTTGCTGTGGTACACATACACACACAGCTGACGTGCAGTGGCGTTTTTATCGACAATACTTGAGTCAAGGAGCATCATCACACAGACAGCCATAACAGCAGTACTCTAGATGTACGGGCGGTATTGTTAGCATGATGTTCAGCTAATGCCTTGCAGCCACTGCTGCGGCAAGTTGAACATTGCCCTCATTTCCTTCAGTTGAACACGGCCACGGGTAACCGGCCCGCACGGCGTAGGATATAGTCTAGACTACGGCATGCTCACGCTGAGCCCGGCTGCGTTGGACCTCATCTCACGAGCATCACCCTTCTTGGATGTTTCCGTCCTCTCTTGCCGCACGACGACCGTCGGGCCTCTCACCTCTTCTTCTGGGCGCGCTTTGTTCGTGACATACAGGATTGCGGAGGCAAAGGAAGACAGGGGGGAGATCGTCGTGCGCAATCCGCGCGCCGATGCGCGGGAGCCCCCCAAAAGCTTCTTCTTCGATGCCGTTTTTGGCGACCGGTCTGCTCAGGAGCGGGTTTATGAGGTCTGCGGGGCGCCTCTGGTGGAGTCGGTCTTGCAAGGATACAACGGAACGATCTTCGCGTACGGCCAGGTGAGCCCTAGAGCCGTTTAGCCTAGACCTTGAGGTTCTTGTGCATATATATTCACCCTCTTGCCTCCTTGCCTGTGCACTTCTTCACTTGCAAGGCGGTCTCTGCTCGTTTGGTATCGTGTGGTGCATGCTACAGACTGCATACAGCACAACAGGTAGCATTACTTCTGTTGCTGAAAAATTGGTTCATTCATGAAGTTCTCGGGAGAGGCGTGGACGTTTTCGCGTTGTAAGGATACCCTGAAATCGATGTTTGGTACAATACACAACACGGAGATACATAGGGACCCTTGACTTCATGATCAAGGACATATGACGGCTACTGCTTTATTTATTGCCAGACTGGCGCCGGCAAGACTCACACCATGGAAGGATATCCCGACCCGCCGGAGCTCAGGGGAATAATCCCTAAATCCTTCGAGGTATGTGTGACATGTTAAACCGGCAAGCGTGGGTGAAGTACTGTATGGCACACCAACAACATGTGCTTTACCAGCCCACTCTCGTCGCTCTTATCGCCGGATGAATCAGGGCATAGATAACAGTGCCGCCGCATGGATCATTGCATAGACAACAGCGTTGAGTGATTACTCGGCGTTCTTGGGAAACAGGTCACTGTTTCACACGTCCGTATAGCACCCTTAGCATGGGACTACAGAAGAAAGTAATTGCAAAAGCTGGCTTATAACTTTCCCCCACAAGTCACACACCCCAGGAAAACATCTCTAATATTATCACCATATCGCGGAGCTCAAGTTTTTCAACCCGTTTTTCTGTATATTCTTCAAGCGTTGCTGGAGTACTGGCTGGCGGGGCAAGAGACTATCCAAGTCAAATGGTTTCTCCAAAACCACCCCATATTTGCTCGCATACCGCCCACGTAAGCAATGAGCGCGCACATGAGGTCACAAACATTCCAACGGGGACTGACTGCGAATTCCCACAAGATTACCTGTGCACACTCTGCAGATGCCAAGCTTGCTCCGCACTGCCGTGCCCTCACCTTAGCACCAAGTCGATAAAAACTTCGTTGGCGTTGCCAAACGTGGCGGACTGCGCTGAATTTGCAGCACATCTTCGACAAGATAGCCCTCGCGGACAACGTGCAGTACCTCGTGCGGGCGAGCTACCTCGAGATCTACAACGAAGAGATCCGAGATCTGTTGTCGAAGGTAAGGGCTGTGCGCTGCAGAAGGTTATTCTTCTAACCCTCTGCTTCCCGTACATCGGCATTGCTCGGTGATCGCATCTCGTAGTCCAGTCGCCAACACAGACGGCGGGCCCTGTAGCTTGCAGGTAGGCTGAGACGTTTCTTCACGGTAGGGTTGTAATGATAACGCGCAAGTTGGAATCGATATGGACTGCGTATTTGAACGGCGGGCATTCCTATTTCCCCAATGTGCATGGTTTCCACTTCCACGAACCACCCGTAGTTTTGGTGACGCTGGTGTTTGGTGACTGCTCATGTTCGAAGGCACACATTGGGGAGCCAGCATATCTCTATCAACACCTGCTAAACGCATGACCTCACGTCGTGGGGCGTCTCTCACGGCTTCTCCGGAGACGCTTGAAACCTTTTTCGCTTTTTTTCTGCTCGAAAAACTCCTGAGACTGAGCAAAGCGCGTCCACCAGCGCGTCCACCTTTGCTCGTTGGGTTTCTTGGTTACGGTTTCATCGTTGTTCGGGATTCCTCGGCGGGATGCAGGACCCCAAGGATAAGCTCGAGCTGAAGGAGAACGTGGACAGCGGAGTTTACGTGAAAGACCTCACGACTTTCGTGGTTAAGAGCGCGATGGAAATAGACCACGTCATGCAGGTGAGAGCGCTGTACCGATCGACAAAACGAGATATCCAACCTTCCAACGTTGCAAACCCTTATCTATGAGCTCGTGCCATGAGTCCTAGACAATACAGATCGCCCTTGGTTGCGTGTTTGGATTTTGTTTGGTGTTTTTTTTTCCTCCCGGGTCGTTTGTTGTGCTAGATGCCCCCAACTTTCCGCCCCCGCTCCCAATTTTTGTTACCTTGTTGGCACGTTGCATATGAAAAGCATACGCGCAACACCCCATCTGCGTTGGGCACAACGAGTGCATGGCTGTGTATAGAAGGCCCTGCCTGAGTGACGGTATTGGTGGACCTGCCGCCGTTGTGGTTGACGGTAATCCTTTGTTTCTTTGGCCAAAGGCGTAATATACGCACGCCTGTGTGTGGCTCCCTTGATGTACCTAGCTAGCCCCATGGGAATATTCCCACCGGGTGATGTTGTGCACAAAGAGGAGGGGGGGAGATCACCCCCTTTCGCTTGAGTTTCCTCCCCGGGTTTCGCGCTTGGCGGAGCAAGAATCTTCACCTCCTGCGGAATCAAAGTAGATGAAGGTACACGCAAACCTCCGTATTCACCAACGTCCGTCAACGACGACCAACCCAAACACTGAAGATGGCCGTCATTGTCTTTTATGTTGTCCGGCAATCAAAGCTCCTCTCTCTCTCTCTCTCTCTCTCTCTCTCTCTCTCTCTAACCAACACGAATCCGGGCGCCACGCTATAACCCACACCAACGTCACATAGGCCGGCAAGAAGAATCGATCGGTGGGGTCGACGATGATGAACCTCACCTCTTCGAGAAGCCACTCCATCTTCTGCATCGTCGTGGAGTGCAGCCAGAGCGACGATCGCGGGGACCACATCCGTGTTGGCAAGCTCAACCTCGTAGACTTGGCGGGTTCCGAGCGGCAGAGCAAGACGGGCGCGACGGGGGACAGGTGAGCTCCTCCTCCTCCTCCGCCCGCCTTCGCCCCAAGACAATATGTTAATACCAACATACTTCGTGTATATGTTGTTTCTCTTTGGAGTACTAGTAAATCAGGGGGGTGGGGGGTGGGGGGGGGTGCAAGGGGGTGGACAGTGGTGAGAGCGCCCCATGTGTTGCGAACGGCCAAAGAGCATGTGATGAAAAGGAAAATGGAGCGAAGAAGTTGCTGCTTCGTACAATCCGGGTGCAATGACGTTAGGCAGTCTCACCTCCTTCCCATGGGCGGGATGCCATGTATGCCTGTCGTAATCTTTCAATAGCTTCTACGATGTTCACCATTCCTTGCCTCAAGATTATGATGTTCTTCTCGTACCCTGCCCTGGCATTCTGCCCCGCGTAAATCTAGAACCAACACCAGGGTATCGGCTGTGTGACCCTTCACTAATAAGCGAAACATGGTTCGAGTCGTCATTAACTCCGACATGGCCGTCGTTGCTCATCATCCACCGCCAACGATCGCGTGATGACTCATGCTACCACTACAACTGGCGTTGAACGCCTCATTAGGTATGGAAAAGCAGTGATCACCTCCAACACCTCATCATCAAGCCCCCGTCGGCAAAACGCACGAATTCACCAAACGTGTCCCGCTGCTCTTGACGCTGATCTTCGACGGGCCGGCCGACCGCTGCTGCTGGTTCTTTCGCTCGTTTCACCAGGCTGAAAGAGGCGAACAAGATCAACTTGTCCCTATCAGCCCTAGGGAACGTCATCAGCGCACTCGTGGACGGGAGGTCGCTCCACATTCCGTATCGAGATTCCAAGCTGACGCGGCTACTGCAGGACAGGTACATGTACAGGGGACAAGGCACCGCAGTACAGTCTCGCACAGAAGGGGAACACTAGACGCAAGGATGGTTCGACCTCGTGCCGTTCGTAATATGTGGTCAGGGTACAGACTGCGCTACAGACAGTGTTCCCACCTAGCCTCGTACTATGGAACTACACAATTGTTGATAGCGACGTGAGATTATATCGGATTTTTAATAGGAATGATGTTCTTAGAGAAGACCACTGATGAAAGGCACGCTGTTGTCGTGCATAACTGGAGGTCCATCGGGGGGATGCTATGCACACTCTGTAGTACACGTGCATAGAAGGGCGAGACAGCAATCGAGAAGTGATGACATTCATGCAGGCGGCAATGGATCGGTTGATGTGCGGTGTTTGTCGACATGAGACAAATCCGTACAATTGAGGCCCCGACCGATGAAGAAACCTGTTTGGCTGCATTTGTGACCCAATCGAGGAGTTGGGCGCGCCGGAGTCCAATCATTGCTGGTGGCCGGCTGTGTCGGTTCTCGCAGTATTTTGAGTTGTCCACCCCATCACTCCCAGTCTACTCACGTGTCAATATTCTTTCTCGCTCGCTCCGCCCCGCCTCCCCCGTCTGCTCTCGCGTGTCCGTCTTGTCGCATGCAATCCGTGACTCGCGTCGTAATCCTGTGTTTTTGAAACAAAAGCCTGGGAGGAAACACGAAGACCGTCATGTGCGCCAACGCCGGGCCTGCGGAGTACAACTACGACGAAACCGTCTCAACCTTGAGGTGCGCCGGTGCTCTGTCCTCGCGAGACGCCGCGGGAAAATCAAAACTGTGCTCTCCTTGGAGTTGGAACCATTTGTGTGCACCAGCCACGAACCGGTTGGTTTCTGGGTTGGAAGACTGGGTCTGGACGGGCGTACGGGCGGATGGCTAACATGTCTCCTCGACCTCCTTCTGATTCTGTAATCACGTCGTCTGAGCCCGCTACCAGCGGTTGTGGCTGGCCTCAAACCGACTCATGAGGTTGGCAAATCAGCAACGACGCTAGTCTTGCCACCAGTGTCGAAGCATTGCTTGCAACAATGACGCTTTGACGCCTCCCCTTCCTTGTATCATGCCTCCTTGTTTCATCGGGGATTGGGCAGGTACGCTAACCGTGCCAAGAACATCAAGAACAAGCCAAAAATCAACGAAGACCCCAAGGATGCCATGCTGCGAGAGTAAGTGGCCACATAAGCGGGTGTCCTTGTGGATGAAGCATGACAGCGGGGGCTACCCCCCCTATTGCAGCCGTAGACGTCGGCTTGAGGAATGAAAGGGAGGGGTCGGGGAGCTCTGCGAGTCGGGCATCACACTACTGTAAGAAAATAGATAGTGTACGGATGCAACAGACAAGTCGGTTTGTTCGCTTCGTGACCACGAAGAAAACAAGGAGCAGCATGGGGTACTGCACAACAACTCCCACCCCTCGCAGGGGCAGGTTGGCTGTGGTAAATTGAATCTGGTGTCCGACGTGAGAAGCAGCTACTCACGAGTATCGAATTGAGGACGGACGGTTTTGCTCCTTAGATCGAGGTCGTGTCCAACTGGATGCGTCCGTCTGTGTTGTGGTACATCGTGTGCTTGACCAGTCCACCGTCGCCGTGGTCGTCTTTAAATGATTGATGATGATGATATTGATATGCTTTTGGTTCTTGCCCTCGACAGGTTCCAGGAGGAGATCCAGCGACTCAAAGACCAGCTGGCTGGGCAAGGCGGTACCGTGGACGGAGACGGAGAATCCGGGCAGGTACGCCAACAAATGTCACTCACAACGACACCTTCAAGGAAAACATGCCTGAAGAACCAATCTCGCCCAACCCTCGTGCTCCCACTCCGCCTTCCCGCGTTCTGCTGCGCGCGGCGAGTAACGTCGCATGCGGGGAAGGGTGCGCAAGCTGCATCCCGAAGGGAGAGCTAGCTTCCTCCTTCTACCCATGTTTGGCTTCCTTCCACTGATGATACCCTCGAATAACCTGATTGATTTCCTACAGACAATGGTCGCGCCCTCCCTCTCCTCCAGATAAGCAAAGGGGTCAAACTTCAGGCTCGAACTAGTGGTCTAGTTCTGGACTTTTCTACTTCTGAAGGACAATTGCCGACAATCCTTGACGCATCACATTGATCACCATCCATCACCACCACTCACCGGCTACACCCACGTCGCGCCAGGTCATCGGATCGCTCGGAGGCGGCCAGGGGGCCAAGGTCGTGGGGGTGAGCGAGGAGGAACTGACCAAGTTGCAGGATGACGCCGATCGCAGAGAAAAGCAGCTCAAGCAGCAGGTGCACCTGGACACTTGTGACGCGCTCTGTAGGCCCGACATTGGCATAACTGGGGCTCGTGGTTTTCCTAGACGCATGATGACCATGCTTAAGATGGACGGGTGTGCAAGGAATGGTGTTCTAGGTTCCCGGGATCTCACCCCCCAGACTACTGCGGTCTACCATACGCTTTTAATACAGCGAGCGGTTCACTGCTTGGCTCAGTACAGTGTGTGATAGCCGTGTTGTAAGGGCGTGAAAGTGATAGGAGCAGAGGTCGACCATGAAGCAAGTGATTGTCGTTTAACCGATCGATCGATCACTCAGGAATCGAACAAATACGCCTGTTTTTCTCGAGGCTCGTTTGGGCACCGCTACTGCCCCTTCTTTGCCCCATCGGATCACCCCGCCCCTCCCCCGGTGACTCTCGCTCGAGTCCACGACCGTGACCAGAATGATCGACGGCTCCGCGCACCCTGCTTTACACACACTATAGAAACGCACTTGCTTGCTCTACACATGTTATCATGGCAAGGAAAACGTACCAATATGGGTCCAAACGTGCGCCCGCACGTGCCGCATTGCAATGCCTCGACCAATAGGCTGCCGAAGACATGAAGAAGCTCCTCGACGCCCACGCGAAGACCGCAGACGAACGGCAGGCCCTGAGCGAGAGGCTCGAGAGCGAGGCGGTAGAGAGGCGCAAGATAGAGAAGACCAAGGGGATGCTCCTGGGCAAGCTTCAGGCCATGGAGGCCAAGCTCATCCAGGCAAGCAAGTAGGCACCCGCGGTTAGAAGGAGGAGGGGCACCGCGAAACAGACGCGTTGCACGTGGTCTGCGTGGATGGTGTTAGTGTGTCATTGAATTTACAGGCGTGGAGTTTGTGGTGAACTCGGTTGTCGTAGTTTTAGGGGCGGGCTGTGCATCGATGCATGAGGTTCCCGGGCTGGTGGTACGGTGTGTGACAGCACTTGTGGCGGGGGTATCGCGACCCTTGTACCCTGCTGCCAGCGGTATCGCATTTACGGTTGCTGGTGCTGCTGCTGGCTGGTTTGATTCTCCCAATGCTGCTTTCGGTTCCAATGAGCCAGCATTGACTCCTTGCTGCCTCGATGAACTTCCGTCGACCAAACATTACCGAATGGCATATCTTAACATCTTCCCGTTTTGCACCCCCATCCGCCCCCACCTTGCTCCTTCCTCGTAAACGACCTCCGCCCCATGTCCGCACTGCACCACCGGTTGCCGCTTGTCGTAAAACAAACGATAAAAGGGAGGAGAAATCCTGGACAAGGCTCAGAGACAAGAGGCGGAGCTGCGACAGGCACAGCACGAGCTGGAGCACCGACGAGACCAAGAGACCTCGCTTGTGAGACGATCAATCGCACCGCCCTTGACGGGAGTGGAGTCATGGTAGCTCACGGCCGCGGGCAAAATTTCAAAATTTCGCGCTATGTCGTGACCTCGGATATTTGGCGGGACAAGCGCCCTCGCTTGCTATCTTCTGTCTCTTGCGAGTTCGTGTGTTTCGCCCGAAATCAGCGCATCGCCCGCAACAACACTGCGGCAAAAGCATTCGATCGACGAGGAACGTTCGATAGGGACGGGGGAATCGGGGCGGGGAATTCCTTCGTTGTTCTACTTCTGATCACTCACGCTTTTGAGACGGAGAAAAGTTGCTGCTACGAGCACTATCTCACTAATCAGTTCGAGGGATAAGTTCACTAGTGGAGAGAGGGTCTAAGGTGACGGAAGCGCACGCGTTCGACGGAGCACAATAGAATTTGGGCGGTGGCGGTCGCGGGAAGGGGAAGCTCTGAGGCTGTGAGACTCTTGCTGTTTCCTGTGACTACATCCCCACCCTATCCCCCCTCCCTCATTTTAAGGTGCCCGTCCTTCTGAAACTTTTTATTTCCTTGCCTAACGGAGGTTGATCCAGCCCTCTCGCGGTTTCGTTCACTCGTCCTCCATGCGATTACAGGCTCGAGAGCTAGCCGAAAAAGAGGAAGGGATAACCGAGCTCAATCGCGAGTTCCACGACTTGGAAGAAGAGGTGCGGTTGACGCCGCCGAACACGGGCGGTTCCGTTCACCCCACCTCAGTCATCCTGCCCCAGCCTTGAACGTAGCTGCACTCGTTTGTCGTACACTACCAGTAGTGGGATAGACAAGCACAGTACGTGAGCCCGCAACCGAGCGGGTGATCAGTGCTTACTCCTACGTCAGCTATACGATATGGATTTTTTTTTTGATAGGGATGAAATCACATTTGCGATGTGTACTTATCGTTCCGGTACGTGTTCCACTCTGTACCGTGTTAAGCGCGGGTGGCGTACTTTCTTATACGGCACACGCGAGTGCGATGGTATTCTGCAAGCTAAGCTCTGCATAGAGACCAACCTCCCAAGGCGGTCCATAAGATCGCACCGCGTTAAACGCATACAGCAAGCGACACAAAAACACATGTTTTTCTTGGCGTATGAAAACCGCTATTCTGAGGTCGAGCTGTTCACCCCGCGCTTGTTGTGCCAACGATCCATACCGGTGGTCCGTTGTGCACTAATCGTCACATTTCCCTCAAATCACGGTGGGTTATTGACTTTCTTGCGTGGCTAGGTGGAGGTGAAGACGAAGAAGCTCAAGAAGCTGTGGAGCAAGTACCAGACGGCCCACCGCGAGATCAAGGACATCCAGGAGGAGTTCCAGCAGGAGAGGTCCGACATGCTCGACACCATTCGAGAGCTAACGAGACAGCTCAAGCTGAAGGAGGTTTGTCAAGGCTTTGTTTTTTCGATCCGCGTCGCCTTGACCTCCAAATCGAGGAATGTATTCTTCACAGGAAGCTGGGGCAAGGGACGCGGGAAGAACATTCAAGGAGTTGCAACTACCTATTCGTGACAGAAAGGCAGAAATGTTGTTTTGTTGTTGCGGGGTTGTGGCACGGATGGCACGCCAAGCACGTACGTAACGAAATGAAATCGCACACGTTGACACCTCGAACATCGGAGAATCGTGCAAACAGCAAAACTGGGCGCAAGCGGTGTATCCCTCCCCCCCCTGGAGTTTCGCGCCACGAGAGAAGACAACCACCGCCTCCCCCCTCCTCGACCCCCCTGGCCCTTTATATCCCCCGCCCCCCCTCCCTTTTCTCGCTCCGTCCGGGCATGCGAGGCCAATGGTCCACCGACGAAGGCATGAGTTGACATGAGTACACCCCCCCGGTTTCATCTCCCCCTGTGATCGAAGGTTGTGATCACTAACTTCGTGCCCCCGGAAGAGGTGTCCAGCGTCGAGCGCCGCGCGCAGTGGAACGAGGAGGCGTCGGCCTGGCTCATCCCGCGCCTGGAGCTCGCGGGGAACTCCCTGCGCATGCGGCGGCCCGTCAGCGTCGCGGGGCTGCCCCGGCCGGAGACGGAGTACGCTCGCCACAGGAAAGGGTACGATTCAAACCCCAGGTGTGTGTGTGTGTGTGTGTGTGTGTGTGTGTGTGTGTGTGTGTGTGTGTGTGTGTGTGTGTGTGTGTGTGTGTGTGTGTGTGTGTGTGTGTGTGTGTGTGTGTGTGTGTGTGTGTGTGTGTGTGTGTGTGTGTGTGTGTGTGTGTGTGTGTGTGTGTGTGTGTGTGTGTGTGTGTGTGTGTGTGTGTGTGTGTGTGTGTGTGTGTGTGTGTGTGTGTGTGTGTGTGTGTGTGTGTGTGTGTGTGTGTGTNGTGATGTTGTGTGTACTCTGCGCGCCGGGGCCGCAGCCGGCACGCTTGGAACTCCGTAGGGGGGCATGGAGTGATTGAGACCACACTTCTCCACCGCCAGTTTGCAGGTGCCTTTTCTCCAGCTCCCAGGAGACCCCGAACGGGTACTTTTGGCGCTTGGAACCGGCAGCCGCCGCCGCCGCCGACCATGTACAGGCTTGGGCTCATCTAAGGATATTGGAAAGCCAACTTCACCCCCACCGCCCCCGAGCACACCCGCAGCAGGACGCAGCGCACCCTCTATGCGACTCATTGTTTATCTCACGGCGCTTCGTGCTTTGGTGATGTGCTCGGGGGCGGTGGGGGCGAAGTTGGCTTTCCAATATCCTAAGATGAGCCCAAGCCTGTACATGGTCTAACGACCACGGCATGCACGGCTATGGATACACCCCGCTCCCCTCTCTACGTGTGACCTCCACCCAATCGTCAAATCCACGTCGCCGGTTCCGCACGCGCTTGTCGCCTTGAAGGTACAAGTACGACAACATCATCGCGCAAGATCTCGACATGCCCGAGCGCACTACTCAGGAGTACGAGGGTCCCAGCATGGTGGGTGTTGAGCATCAGGTGGTGATTGATCTTGTGCGGTTATAGGAAGGATTGCCGTGTAGGTGGTTGGTGGTCATGTCGGTGGTGGTGCTCGTGTTGTCCTTGTCCATGACTGTGTTTGTTTCTGACGAGGTCTTCGACTCAGAAGAGAGCTGAGACCTCGAGCACACGGTAAAGTTACGCACTTTTTGTATACGATCGGTCCCTCGACCCGTTGCATAGATGTGTCTGCTCGTCCCATCTCTTCGTTACGTGAACAACATTCATAGACACGTACAAACAGTATCTCGCCATTTCCTGAACCCCCGACGGAATCAGGAGGGCTTCTATGACTAGAGAGAGTGCACCAGCATGGCGTGCGATGTGTTTGTGTGGCGTGTTTGTTGCACAACACGCGCTTCCTCCGGATGGAAATCCACGCAAAGCCCCATGGGCGTATGTTGGGTCCGATGGCGTCACCTTGCACGCACTATTCCATACCGCATGGCACTGCTCCTGCTGCGTTTGTTTACAGATATCGCGAGTACAGCCGGCAGTGGTGATGCCGCTTGACGCAGATGAAGAGGAGGTAACTTTCTCCACCGTGGCAGATACGGCACCCCCTCAGCCCTACCTACAATACGGCCCCGATGACTCGGGGGGAGGTGGGGATAGAGGGGGTGGAGCCGGGGCCGGCGATTCTGCAGCTGGGGGAGGTGAGCCGGGCGATCTGTTCTTGCGGATTTCCCCCCCTTTCCTCCAAGAATCCATTTGCTTTCAGTGACCAAAGAGCATTCTCGAATTCGCGGCAAAAGGTCAGTCTGAACAACGATCCAAGAGCGCCGGAGGCACACAAGCCGGGCTCTTCGTGATGCGGTACACAACAAAAACTTGTTCTGCCATGAAAATGATGTGTTGAATGATGCACCCCCGGCGCCGCCCAAACTTTTTGCGTGTTGCCCCTGTTCTGTCCGCGTGTCTTCTCTCGCCCCCCCGATCGCCCCCATCTCTCATGAATGTCACAAGCAACAAGCAACGAACAAACGAATGTCATCCTTGCTCTTGTTTCTCTCTCTCTCGCCCTCTCTCTCTCTCTCTCTCTCTCTCTCTCTCTCTCTCTCTCTCTCTCTCTCTCTCTCGTCTTCTTCTTCACAGAACGGTTTTCGAGGCCGAAAAGTGCCGCGGCCAAAAAGAAATCCTCTCGGCCTAAGTCGGCCAGACGAAGACGGTCGTCGCAGGAAGAAGAGGGCATCGAATTCAAGGACGACGATGAGTGAGTGTTCTATTGCGTTTTGACCAGTCCCCCCGCGGTTTTGGAGGGTGAAAGTACTTAGACTAAGTGCCTCACTTGTCATATGTCAACCCCGCACAAGAGTGTTAACTGTTTGCGCGTGGGGCGGGGAGAGACACTCTCTTAGTTCCAGGGGCGTGCACTAGTGTCAAATTAAGACGATCGACAAACGGTGCTGCTCCTACGCCTCGTCGAATCATGTCCAACGTTTTCCTGCTCTTCGTGTTGCTGTCAAATCTTCATTTTGTGGATGGTCGCACATCCTGGATCGTTACTAGCCGAAACAGCCTGTATCTAATATCTAAAGTAGGTAGGGCTGCAGGGGGTGGAAGGTCTCAGGGTACTCGATGGCAACTGCCTGAAGTAGTTGCGGCCATATTTCTAACTCACATTCCGCCAATACTGCACGTATCACTCTTCTTCTTTCGATGATCTCCTCACCCCCCCCCCCCCCCCCCCCCCCCCCCCCCCCCCCCCCCCCCCCCCCCCC